GAGTGGGTTAGCGTTACTTACTTACTTACTTACTTACTTACTTACTTACTTACTTACTTACTTACTTACTTACTTACTTACTTACTTACTTACTTACTTACTTACTTACTTACTTACTTACTTACTTACTTACTTACTTACTTACTTACTTACTTACTTACTTACTTACTTACTTACTTACTTACTTACTTACTTACTTACTTACTTACTTACTTACTTACTTACTTACTTACTTACTTACTTACTTACTTACTTACTTACTTACTTACTTACTTACTTACTTACTTACTTACTTACTTACTTACTTACTTACTTACTTACTTACTTACTTACTTACTTACTTACTTACTTACTTACTTACTTACTTACTTACTTACTTACTTACTTACTTACTTACTTACTTACTTACTTACTTACTTACTTACTTACTTACTTACTTACTTACTTACTTACTTACTTACTTACTTACTTACTTACTTACTTACTTACTTACTTACTTACTTACTTACTTACTTACTTACTTACTTACTTACTTACTTACTTACTTACTTACTTACTTACTTACTTACTTACTTACTTACTTACTTACTTACTTACTTACTTACTTACTTACTTACTTACTTACTTACTTACTTACTTACTTACTTACTTACTTACTTACTTACTTACTTACTTACTTACTTACTTACTTACTTACTTACTTACTTACTTACTTACTTACTTACTTACTTACTTACTTACTTACTTACTTACTTACTTACTTACTTACTTACTTACTTACTTACTTACTTACTTACTTACTTACTCACTTACTTACTTACTTACTTACTTACTTACTTACTTACTTACTTACTTACTTACTTACTTACTTACTTACTTACTTACTTACTTACTTACTTACTTACTTACTTACTTACTTACTTACTTACTTACTTACTTACTTACTTTTTTACTTACTTACTTACTTACTTACTTACTTACTTACTTACTTACTTACTTACAGTTAAAATGAAAGATCTAATATATATTTACGCCTTTTCATATAGGAGAGAGTGAATTTTGAATTAGGATACAGTGCAGGTTCTCCGAGCTGGAAGCGTACACGATTTATTAAGCTTGGTGAATATTTGCATCTACTTAGTATATATTAGTCGGCTCATTGATTTATTACAAGTGGTGACCGGTGTCTTCCTTCTGAGTACTGACTGAATTATGCAAGCTGAAAGGTCAGAAGATAGTGGACAGCTGGCGTAACTGAACTATTTGAACTTCGCGGGTGATCGAGCTTTTCTATCCGACACACTCTAATAAGTGCAGGTGCAAACGACCAGTGTTACATCAGCTTCTGTAGCAGTAGGTTTCAACGTGCGCAAGAGAAAAAGAGAATATTCTGAGATAAAACTCAGTGAGCACCAACCAATTCACATTGGAAAATGGAGAAGATTTAGATGTGGAAACGGTGACATTCCTTGGCGGCATCATTTACAGGTGGGTCTGATACCGATGTGAAGACATGAATTGGCAAAGCAAATGCAGGATCTCTAGAGCTGAAGAACATCTGGAACTCAAAACAACGGTCAATCAACACTGAAATCAGAATTTTTAATGCAAATGTCAAGATAGTTCTATTATAAAAAGCGGAGATTTAAACAACCACATAAGTCATTATACAAGAGATACAGGTGTACATAAATAGTTGTTTACGCAATATAGCTTGCATTCGGTAGTCAGATACCATCACCTACAATCTACTCTGGGAGAGAACAAACCAGATTCTAACTGAGTAGGAAATTAGGAAACAATACCATAAGTTAGCAAGACACACATTGAGGAAATCATTCAACTCCATAACGAAGCAAGCCCTTATCTGGAATCCTCAAGGTCAACAGAAAAGAAGTAGATCAAAGAACAGATTGTCCCGAGAATTCGAGACAGATATATAAGGAAGAAACAGCTAATGAGTAGCACTGGAAGGCTCAGTATAGAGTTGATTGGCTAATCTTGGTTGGTGTTCTATACTCCAATCAGGATAACATGAGTAAGTTAGTAAGTGAATGCTAACAACAGGCAATCTGTAACAGCTTTATTATTGTTCCTGACATAATCTGGTGAAAATATTTCCTAATAATAGGAACAGTAATAATGCAGGATTCTCAAAACTTATGCATATATTCCTTCGTTGAACTAAGTCTTTAGGCAGATTGATAATCAACCATACTTACATACTTACGCCTGGAGCTTAGGCTACCGAACAGTATTCTCCAAGCAACTCTGTCCTGGACTTTCCTTTCACGTTCTGTCCTATTGTTGTTCATTCTTCTTATGTCTGCTTCCACAACTCGGAGTAATATGTTCCTTGGTCTTACTCTTTTTCCATTTTCCTTGAGCGTTCCAAGTGAGGGCTTGTCTTGTGCGGCAGTTAGGTGCTTTCCTCAATGCATATGTGTCCTATTCACAGACTCCAACAGTTCTTCTAGATTTCCTCATCCATTGGAATGTGGTTTCTTCTCTCCCACAGTAGGTTATTGCTGATAGTGACTGGAGATAAGCAATCATGCTGTAAACAAATCATTCTTAGTAATAATGTTTACATTTTTGTCAAATAATTGATATATTACTGAATTAACTATTCCGAATTGAATAAAACACAAAAACGAGTAGTAGGAATGAAGTACAAATAACCATGAAAAAAATTAAAAGTTTGTCAAGATAAAGTCAAAATATCAAAGCCCTTTTACAAAATAAACCCAAAACTTACTTTCAAGTCAATTACAACTACCGGCTATTGTCGAAACTATTAACAAACTTATCTATTTGATACAACTATACACGGTAAATTGTTTCAAAATTTTGACAAAACTGATAACATTTCAGCAAAAAACAATATCACTGTCATACTTTTATGTATACAATAACAATTTACGACACCGTATTATCATCAAACAAACTAAAACTTAACAGTCTTTGAAATTTGAACAAAAAAAATGAATCAGATTCATAAAACTCAGTTGAATAAACATGATAACCTCAGTAACAACAGTTTATTTGTTGTTGTTCAAAAGAAATCTTGTTTTCTAAACTAACTTAGTCGGTTGATCAAATATTTCTGTTATTCAGACAATTAGATTTCAAGGCATTTCAATTAGAACACTAACTATTGTGGTATGTGTCGTTGTAAGAGTTGAACATTGAACACTGAACGGTACCGTTTGAAGTATCACTTTACATTGAACAAAGAAAAAACAAACAGACTTTACATTAACAACACATTTTGATACATGTTATGAAAAGAAAAGTGATTATCAGACAGTCTTACAATTTTTATCTTGTTATCATATTGAAAACAGATTTTGAAAAACATAGAATAGGGTAAAATCTAGTCGAAAAAAATATTACATACTGATTGATAGAATGTTTATGGCGATTCGCCTTTTTTGTGGTGAACAATGATAAATGTGATTGAGATCATTTGAAGCACAATTATTTGTCGGTATTTAAAGTTTTACTTTGATATTCTTTTTTAATGATAATACATAATTACTACTTAAATCGGATGATAAAAAAAACCTATTTCCTTAATATTTACTCATTATATGTCAGTAATAGGTGTGTAAGTGTAAATTAAATACGTTGAATTAATGAGATAGTGAGTTCGTCGGTCTATAACCCTTAGAATTCATGAAGAAATAAACAAGTTGTTCAGTGATCAATTCCTTCTTTTATCTGAATTCTTGTCTATCAATAGTCTGTACATGTGTTGGAATTGGTTGGGACACATATTGAGGAAATTATCCAACTATATCAAGCAGCAAGCCCTCACTTAAACTACTCAAAGTGTTGGGGACGGTAGATCCCCAGAACTCGCTTGATAATTACCTTAATTTTGGATATTATGTTTCCGAGCATGGGCTGATCAGTTAACCTTGAGATCGCATTTCTCACCAGGAAAATCCTTGGCTGTGATTGGTTACTGTGTCATTTTAGTGTGCTATTTTTGCGACTGTCCCAAGGACGCTTCTATGATGTATAAATAAACGAGATTTGTGTGGTTGGTAGTGTTGGGTGTTTTTAAAATATAATTTCTAGGCTATATCAAGACTTCTCATTAGCTGTTTCGAGCCAACGGATGAGAGTAGCCTATTCGGACGCTGGTTAATTGACTCGTTCTCGTTTATCGACTAAGGTGAACCTGTAATAGTTTCAAGCATACCTAGTGACGAACCTAACACAAGGTTAAATAAAAAGAGTAGAACCAAAGAATACATTCTGCCGGGAATCGGAAGTAGACATGAATAAAATGAACAATAATTAAACAGTGCTAGAAGGGAAGGCCTAGAACAGAGTAGTAGGTTGGAGTATATTGG